ATCATTGCATAATTGTGGTTTGCAATCTTTGTGGCAACGTTACGGAAGTATTCGCAAAACAAAAATGCCGTTACTTTTGAGACTTAAAACCTTTTGTCAAAAGTAAAGTAACACAGACTATATTTTATAGGCTATATAGGTTAAGTCAGTGTACGTACAATGTATATTGTACAGAAACGATGGTCAAGTTAAATATTTTTATAAAATACTTCCAAAGTACTAGCTAGAGTCTAAATTCACTTCCATACCAGAATAAATATTCACCAAGGCGCTAGGTAGAATACATTTTATACCCGCATAAAATTATATTTTATATTTTAATCGTTCCCAAATTGTGTATACATTAGTACTTATTTAGTATTTACTGTTTATTTACGTTGTTCTGGTCAATATTACAGAATATAGAAATAGTAAAAAATAATTCATTAATTGAATTACTAAATAGGTAAGTTTCTGATTCAACTAAAATTATTAATGACGTTACAAACAATGCTTTTTTTCTATATTTTTTCAAACATTTCCAGCAGCATATTATTTTGATGAAGTGAGCTATGTCCAAACGTACAAAAACAGCAGTAGTTGATATATTTTTGTTCTATAATACTCTCAAACATATATCACAAAACCGGCTTTTTGACATTTGGCAGTATGAAAATACTATAGCCCGGTGAGAGCATAAGAATAATCACATAATTATTTTCACACGTAATTTTGCTCCACTTCTTATCCACTGATTTAGCCAATACTATATTGTAGACATGTCTTGTGTCTCCGATAACATCTGGGACAGAGGTGTTTGAAATAATTCAATATGTAAGACAGCAGCATAGAAAAATATATGTGAAAACTTTAACCCTGGCTTGTTCCAGAAATTTTTTTTCTAACTGACCCGTTGCATCAATACACTATCGGAAATCATTAACTTAACTTTTGCAAGATTCATTAAATATCAATTGTATTTAGGTGACCAATAATGTACGATGGATCGGCACTTAGAAAATGGATGGATCCCGCATATATATTTATTTTAACTCAATAAGAGTTTGTATAGGATCATTTACTTCAATTCCAATTCATTTGTTTCTATAATTTTGCTTTGCTTTTCTTAGCACTCCAGCAGAATAACCTTGTGGAAGAATTGTTTCTCCGAACGCCACAGTTCTATTCACCATAATACACGAGTTGAAAGTGAGCCACGATTGTACCGCCCCTAGTGGCTTTTTCCAGTAATGCTAATGGTAATATATGGCCCTATCCAAAAAACGCCACTGGGGGCGGTACAATCGCGGCTCACTTTCCACCTCGCGTATTATAGCTCTATTTGCAGTAATTGCATCAAGTAGCCTTCTGTATTTTGAAGTTCTTTACCTTTTGCTTTCCGTTGATCTTCCTTTAAAGGTAATTTGCAATTATATGCATGTTCAATATTTTCAGAGTTTGGAATACATAATATATGTAATTTTGGAAGCTCATCTCCTAATGGTTTCTTTTCGGCAAAAATATACATATTATTTTGGCAATTTTCATCTTTAAATCTCCCGAACATTTTAAGGAATATATTACCAGAAGTTGGATAAATTGTACACCTTTTAAATATAAAACAGCATGATATTTTGAATTTCTTATACATCTCTTCAAATATTATTATGCCCGTACTGTTCATTTATGGGTTTAATGAACCTAACGTATGTATCGAATGGAATATCCTAATCAATTATTTCCTACTTCTGACTCTGTATCATACCCCGTTACAAAACCACTTAAAACAATATTAATAGTTATTATTGCAAAGTAAAATGAATGTTTTTATAGGATATCCTTGTAAGTTGTAAACAAGAAATCTTATTCAGTACCTGATATATGATGCTTAAATTTGTTAGGTAGGAGATGTAAACTAAGTTCATTGATGGGGCGTTGCCTAATTATATAATATTAATATAAGTTAGGGTGGCTCCAGTTATAAAATATACTCAGGTTAATTGGAATAAAGTGGACTGTATAATAGTGATGGGTGAAAATAACAGTAATAGTTACCAGACGAGTAGCAATAACAAGCTGTTACTTGGAAGAAAAAATAACAGTTACTGAGCTACTGGTTATCAACACAATAAAGTTACAAAATAACAACATAATAAATAACATATTATTTTTTGAAATTGTGTGGTTATCATTTTTAGTAACAGTATGTTACCAACGGAATATTGGAATAACAGTAAAGAGTTATTACATCAAATTATGGCACGTCTGTTATTTCATAGTTTATGCAGATACAACGGTCAACATTCAACGATATTGCGATACCTGTCCTGTGTTTCTCTTCTAGGTCATACTTGTAAGCTATTTTTCTCATAAGTTTATTACTCGATAATGCGATAACTGATAAACCGAATAGGTACCTATGTCCAATTATTGTATATTTATTAATTAATATTTAATACTATTACCTTTTATAATAAATAAATTAACAATAGTTACTTAGTAGTTATAACTTATAAACAGTAAATACATTTTAATTGTGCGTTTATAAAATTGAAAAATTACCAGCGAAGAAATTAATTTTAACAAAGGAAAATAGAAAAAATTGTATATTATACAATTTGCAATACCTATGAATAATGAAAAGGAAACAGGAAAAGTAATGGTGACTGATGAATTTGAATAACCTGTTTGTAATGATAGTAAAAAACATCAAAATGTCTTTTATTTTTTAAAATATTATTTAATTAACACAATTGATTTAAAGTTCAGTGATACCTTTCACTACTTACAGTACTGCAAAATAACATAGGTGAATTATACTTTTCTTTTATTTAAAGGTATCTTATTTGATACATCTCATAATAATAATAATAAAAATAATAATAAATATAATAAAATCACTCATTAACATTTCAACTTTTACAAAAAATATTTATAATACAAATATACAGTATTGTTCAAATTATTTTGAATTATAATGAAGAAATAATAACATATTTACTTTCTCACTTTTTAGACGATAGCGGCGATCATTCAGCACTAAACTTGCACTTGAAAAAATCCTTTCACAGGGAACTGATGTGCCTAAATGACATAAACTATTCTTGACCAATATACTGAGGTTAGGTTAATTATAGCTTTGGTCTTTCCCCCATTTAAGTGGATCTTGGTTTCTGGTTATGACTGCATTGTCCAAGTAGCGTTGAACTTCAACTATTGCACTTGACTTTGGCGTTCCCAATGGTGTAAATCTTGCCACATTACTATCAATTTCACTCCAAATTGATAATTCTCCTGATTCTAGTATTGGATTCGGCTGCATATTTATCTCTGATTCACTAGGTTGTTCCTTATCTCGAATAATTTTAGCTACATTTTCAATTACTTCATTTTTTACTGGACTTACCTATATTTGTAAAAGGTAGGTGTTTAAATCTGGGATCTAAGAATGTACATTTAGAAAGAGTCATACTTTTTTCACAGTTTTTAAAACCCTCCCTTTCATTCATATTACTTAATAACTCATTAGCAATAAGCAATGCTCTTTAGGACAAATTCATCTTTAATAAATTATTGCACACTTTGCACAAGGTTTTTTTTAGTTAAATAATTTGAAACAGATATTTGTTTACGTTTGCGGACTGTAGTATTTGAAGCTTGGATCTAGGAGAAAGCATTTGATGAAGATGATACAGGGATTTGGTCAGATAATCAGGCATAGGAACAGAAGAACATGATGCAACTGGTGCGGGATCGTCTATTTGCTCACTTTCGTTATGATTCTAGAATAAATTAATAAAAAAATTGATAAATATTCAAATTTAAAAATTAAAATAGTTGCTAGAATGTCTATACAATTTAAAACTTAATCAGTTTTTAATTTAATGTCATAAAAATTGTACATTAATTAGTATATATTTAAAATAAATTTAAATACCTATGTATGATATTAGTATTAAAAATATGTTAAACTAATTAAATTAATTGATGTATCAAATTGTACTTTTAATAACTTTTCATGATAAACTAGATGCTTAAAGTTATTAAGTATGTTATTAAATTTATTCAGTGAATAATATAAAAATATTTTATTATGTAGATACCTACTTACTTTCGAAGAATTTATCAGCATATCGATTCCATGACGAGTAGATAAATGTTTTTTTTAAGATTTGTCAAAGTTGAATTATAAGAATATTTATTTAAACATATATCGCATTCAGCAATATTCTTTTTTTCGTCAAAAATAGTGAATTGTTCCCAAATACTACTTGTGCGTCCATCCATATTTTTTAAAGAATTACAGAATTACACTTAAAAACAAAATTAGTGCACCAAGACAATAATTGACAGTAGAAATTATCAGCTGTGTGCAAGAAATCAAAATGATTAATGAATTATGTATCACACATGCAGAATATAATAATAAAACATTTTACTGTGAGATGGGACTCTTCTATTTTAGAAGACAGGAGTAAACATGCATAATATTGTTTGCACTTTGCAATATCTGTCCTGTATACCAGTGGCGTATCCAGGAAGGGTATGCAATTAAACATTATACAATTATAAATTATGTAGTAGTAATATGTACCATTAAATAGTAGAGAATAACCCTATAGTACCTATGTACACTAAAAAAAATGTGTACTACAGTACGTTTCACAAAACTAGTGACTCCGCAGTGGCGCTTCCGGTGGCAGATTTTCGTAAGGGTTTCCTAAACGTGTGACTAAGAAAGCGCGGTAATTTAAAAATGACGCGGCAATCAACCATTGAACAGCTGCTGGCCCTGTTGATATGAATTTTTTTAAATAATTTTACCTACCACTGCAAAACATTTTATTTTTTAACATTTTACTCCATAATAATAAACACACACTCGCATGGTGATTGGTGAACGTATTACGTTGATAACGATAACAACCACATTATTTGGTGAACGGCCACCTAGATCCCCATCCAAATAGATCCCCATGATCTAAATGACACTAAGGGATCTAATTGGTAGGGGATCTAAATAACCATAGGGAACTAATTGACAATATCCTAACCGGGGATCTAAATTACCCATTTTGCGTTTAGATCTCCCTTGATCTACTAGATACCCCTTTTATGGCGGTAATTCAAAGTTACTCAACTCTCTTAAAGTCCTATTAGTCTTAATATCACTAATTATCACATACAAGTATACAACTATAAAAACACAATAAACACATACAAATTTATATTTAATGGAGTAATTATTATGATTTATAAGTCATGAAATCATGATCAAAAGTTAGTTATCTCACCACTGATTCATTAAAATGCAGCATTACGGTGTGTACAACCGTGTAGACTTGTAATGTGTTAGCCTATATTATTATAATTTAATATTTATACAACAATCAGTGGTGTAGTTGCCCGGGTGGTTTGTTGGGTGTTTAACCCCCTACCCGTTTATTTCAAACTGTTATAATCGGAACCGATAAATATTCATACGTTAGAGCTGCCGTTGGAGGTAACAATTTATTACCTTATCTCCAATTAATATCAACCGTAATCTCTTATGCACAACCTATAGGGTATAACTTACTAATTTTATAATTTTATTTATTTCACTAGTCTATAGTTATAGGATATACTTGTATTCGTAGGTCGTAGGACATGACATCTTATCGGTTTTAAGTCTTAACTAATAACTTGAATTAAATAAACAAATTGCAATTATAAAACCGTATCTTACCTATTATAATTACAATTTTTTTTTTTTTTTTCTTTATTTGAGATAAACAATCTATACCTTAGGGGCACAATAAGTTTATATGGTTAGAGTAATTTACAACATGATACGCTTGACGTGAGAAGTCATCCATTAATGACACTCAATTGATTGATTTTTTTTTTTTTTTTAGAAAATTAGTTAAACAACTGATGCTCTGCAATTGATTAGTTGAGGGCAGGGGGGTGAGCAAGTAGGTCACGACACCATTTACGTTTTAAACGTCTGGGTGGGTTACCAGGAATAGTATGGACTGCAAGATTACGTATTAGCGGGTTGCTATTTGAGGAAAGACGATTGTGGAAGCGTTGGTAATGATCTATAGCTTCTTCATGTACCAGTTTTATTTTTAGATCAGTGTGAATAGTGTGGTTTGAGACGTAAGGAGGAGCGTTTAGAAGTTTCCTGAGTGCTATAATTACAATTTAAAATATTATCTTCTGTAATGGAAACTTACTGCTGAACCTCATAATAGATACGATGAACGGCGACTTGTAGATTGTAATCGTTTATTTCAGTCATTTCAAAAGTAAGTTTCTCATTATATTTTTAATAATAATTTCTATAATTTATTTAACTAAAAGCCTCTTAATAATTATTATGTTGAATAGTGGACTGTAGTAACTTGTAGTAACAATGATATAAGTACAATATAGTTATGGTGACCAAAAGTAGGTACTATTTTTCATAGGACAGTACTCTTTTTTGATGCATTAAAACTATAGTGCTAAGTATATGAAATTGTAATCTTTTTTGGGAAATATTATGGGTTACTACATGTCCATGATTTTTTATAATTTTGTATTAATTTATATTTTGTGGTTCAGCTAATGCAATTTAATTGGTTGTTAGCATAGTTAATTTAATTTGTTAATGTTTCCTACATTTTAACAAAGTTTTGTATTAATTTATTCAAATTATACTCTTGGTATTTTTATCTTTTAAAAATAACTAAAATATTTATACTTTAGTTTAAGTTTACTTAAATTTCATAGAATTGTTATCATAAAAATACACATCTAATGATTTGACATAATAATTTTAAATAATTAATTTTTTAGTAAGTACCTAGGTAATAATAATAATAATTAAAAAACAAAAAAAAAACAATTTTTGTAGAAGGATGACTTATGGTTTATGATGTGGGCAAAATGGGTATACACATTGGCAATTACAACAGAGAAGAAGCTAAGTTTTAAAATGTACTTTTTAAAATTTTTATATTTGGTCACCATAAGTATAGTTTATAATAGGTATATAGACATTTAGTGTGTACATAGACTGGTAGTATTTTCTATAAATATGATAGTTATACTTATAAACTTCTATAGTATTTGTTAAGTATTTGTAAGTTTTATTTGATCACACATGATTATAAATTATAATCACAAGTGATAATGAAAATACGTTTGTAATAATATTAATTTCAATGTAGGTACTGTCTTGTATAATGTATTGGTACCTATGTAGTATGTTATATGAATATAATTGATTAATATCAATAAAATGTGTTAAACTTACTTAACAAATTGAAATGTATGTCATATCAAGAAAATTAGTTTAATTTATGAGAAATAAAAGTAGATTTATGGCTAGTTGATATTTAATTTAAAATAAAAATTATTATATTTTATAATATATAGTATAATTATAGGTTATAATTTATAGTACATTTCAATTCCAGTTCTACATAGCGGACAGCGGTAATATGGCCTGTGTTCATTTGGAGGCATTCTTATATAGCTTTCATGACAAGGTCCACACAGGCCTTGATGTAAACATGGATAAGCTATTACTGTTGGCGGACTGTACAGGCATATGTAGCATGTTTCTTCTACTATTGGTATAACTTTAAAATAATAAAACATCTTTATTTTTAATCAATTACTTAAACTAGAAATACATTTCAGATAATTACTACTTACATGTCAAATCTTCACGTTCAATGTGATTAACTAATGGTACCACAGGCTGTTCGTTAAATGAAACTTCTTCATCTGAATAATCTGCATCAAGATTATCAAAAACTAAAGACAATAGATTTATTCGTTAGTTTTTTTATTTGTAAATCTGTATAAGTAATATTATAATGAAAAATCATACGATCTCGAGGAACAGGCACTACTGGTCTACGTGGTAAAATCCTTCTTATAATTTCCTCACGAATCAGTTCCTGATGGTGATTGAAGTGCAGTGGTACTATATCTGGTGCTTCGAGTGGTGGTGCCTGTGGTGAAACAGCAGCATGGAGCACAGGAATAGCTTGACGTTGCAGTTCCTGATGTTGATCAATAGGGAGTGGTAATATAGGTAGTGGAGCACGTGGAAAGACAGCAGCAGCAAGTATATCAATGACTTGATTTTGAGGCCGTAATACACCAAAAGTTGGTGTTGAATGCCTAGCACATATTAAAAATTCTGCTATTGAGTAGCGTCCTTCTGCAAATAGCCTCAAGGATTGAAGGATCTATCCAAATTCCTTTGCTGATCTATCCATATTTGACGTTGAGGTTCTCTTACTTGTCTACCATCAGTAGCCTCATCATAATCTCTCAAAACACCATTTGAGTAAGTAATTAGCCCCTCTGTACATATAAAATAGTGATGTATTTCTTTTCTAGTATTAAATAAATAAAAATATAATTACTCAAAAACACCCATGGATCAGGGTTGTGCCGATTTTGCATGTGCATCTGGAGATTTTGGTGACTTACTTCCAACACATTGTTGGTTCGCCAAACAGTATCACTGACTGACAATATATCTGCATTAATTCCTATTGACAATGAAGTAGAGTAAGTAGTTATACATTTGTTTAATTTTATGAACAAAATATTACAAAATATTTTACAAACCTGCAAGCCATGTTGATCGATAGTATTCAAACAGTAATGAAAATTTGTAATCATTGTTATTGCTAATCAATGATTGCACATTCTCAATATAGTATTCTCTTACAGTTTCAAAACCTTCAGCTATATAATTTTGGGGCAGCAATGGCAATGCCATCAACATATGAACAGTGTCATAGGCTCCTCGATGGTTACTACATATTTCAACCAATCCTAAATATTAACCATTGTTGTTAATTGACTATATATTTTATTTATTATTAATGAAAAAGGTAATTTAGACTTTAGAGTTAACTTACCTATGTTTACAACTTTTCTCCACACTGCTTGGGAGGAATGAAACTAGCAACCTCTAATAGTGGTATATGGAAATATAGTTCTGATAGCAGCTATAGCTGCCCTTTCAAAGTCAACTATTATAATTTGAGGTTGCCACTCTGGCACTATGCTCAATATTTTATTGAAAAGTACAGTGTATGCGCTTTCTGTTTTCCTTGACATTAATGCAAATCCTATAGGAAATCCCTGAAAAAAAATATTTTGTGCCGCCCTCTTATTAAAGAGTGCCGCCTTAGGCTTGAGCCTATTTCGTCGACTCCTTAAGCTAATAAGCTCTGCTCTGAATAATAACTTAAAGAAGAAAATAATTAAGAAGCTATATCAACGAATACTGAATAGGTATGCTTTACGTTATTAACTTCAAATGGTGTTTTAATAAATATATTGCTATTGTGTAAATACATTTTAAGTAAATAATAAACTTAACGTAACGTAATTTTGTGTATGTTTTATAAACTATTTGGTGAGTTGGTAGACTAAAATCTAAATTATAAATAAATTATAATATGTAATGCAATTAATTTTGCTAATTTTGATTTTTAGCGGGAAATATAAATTTGGTGATCTTAAAGACCATAAACATAGATCTAGATGGCACAAGGGGATTTAGTTGACAGGGGAACTAATTGACTCATGGGGATCAAGTTATCACAGGGGATCTAGTTTACCAAAGGGGATCTAGATAACCATGGGGATCTAGTAGGACGGGGATCTAGGTGATACGTCACCCTGGCCGCCAACCTCCCATGATTAAATAATAAATATGTAATTATTTTCTAATTATATCTTTGATCGTGCTGGTGCCATCGGTTAGGTTAGGGAAATTAACCCACTATAATAGGTTAATGCACAGGCCCCATGAACAAATTACAAAGGGGGGTTTAAACGTTTAAACACCCAACCCGCCACTGTAAAGATCCTTTTAAATTTGTTTTGTACTACGATAAGTGATAACCAGATAATTAAAATGGATGTTGAATGTACCCCACTACCCCCATATTTCAATAACATACCTAACTAACAAGGACGTATTTAAAAATATCTAATGGGGGGCACAAACAAAAAATTCAAATTATACATAGTTATAAGTTATTACACATGTTTACCATCTGAAAATAATGTAATGAAAAAGTATAAAATACGGTGAATGGGTGGCGCACGTCCCCATGTGCCCCCATTAAATATGCCCTGATAACTTAGCTACAGTATCTTTAAATTATTTTACCACTGTATTTTATTAGTTATTACTCAATCATTAACATTGTATATACCTAATCTAAAGTTTGTCTGGACACGTCACCAAATAGCACCCCCAATTTTTTCATATTTATTTTCATTTTAATAGTCTTTATTCAGGTATATCCACAACCATAAGATAACATGGAATAAATAATGGGGCTTCAGCACCCCCACTTTTTTCATTGAAATTGCTCCCCTGTGCCCACCTGGTCCCCTAAGAAAAGTCAGTGGCCCCGGACTGGCCCCCTCAATTTTATTTTAAAATATTATGACGTTTAATTGTCCTGAATCCCAGATGTATGTTATAGGTAGGTACTCTGTATCTATATTATTCGTCACCTGACAATTTAAGATAACACAATAACCGTCTAATAATAAACTGAAAGTAGTTAATTCTACATAATTACGTCTTAAGTCTATAGTATATACCTATAACTTATTCAACATCTATATCCACCCGTATTCCGTAATGTTTATTTTTGTATGATTTTTTTATTTTGTTTTACCTCTTTGTGTAGGTACCTTTATTTTATATAGGTACTCAAAAAAAATTTTATTTGCCAGTAGTAATCTGTATGTAATCTGTATGTCTTATGACCGGTTGCATGAAAAATGTAGGTATTAATTTAATAGTTCAATGATATTTAATGGACAAATCATGAGCTACTAAATCATTTTTAAGGAAAAATTAACTTACATTGCTCACAATTGATTCGTTATATTTATATGTTTAGTGATCCCTCGTACAACCCTGCATTAATGACTTAATAGGTATCTATATTATGTAATGAAGGTGGATATATCCACTCTGTATGTAATGCAATATTACGTACAGTGACCATACTATAGCAGCCACGTATTGTTTTTTAATTAATAAAAAAAAAATTAAACTGAAAATTGGAAAACAATATTTAGAAGACGCTACACCCTGCAAATGAGTTATCACTTGTCAACTGACAATAACTATCCCTGTCTCACACTCTCACAAATGTATTACATAGCAAAAAGCCAAAAACAGTTTATAGCTCGATAAACCACTCAGTCTGTAGTGATAGTTTAGACTCCAAATTTTTATACAATTTAGTTGAGAAAATTTCTGTTAAATGTATTTTTTATTTTTTTTTTTTTATATCACTTATACGAAAAAAGTTCTTACTGTTTCCAAATTCATTATTTTTGTGTTTTTTTTAACTTGAATAACTTTTTTTTAGTTCATATATATATTTATTTTTTTAGAGCGGATAAGGTCGCTGTATTGGATGGTACTTATTACATTTGAATTAAATGGTATAATATCATTGTATACGAATAACGATTCTGAACAGATTCTGAATGTCAGTCTAGGATATTTTATATTGTAATTTCTTATTATTTCTTATTAATACAGTAGCTGGTAAGTCGAATTAAAATTATTCTTAAATGTTATTAGTGTTGCTGGAAAAATATAATGTATACTTATGTAAAATTGGGCTGTTTTGCAACTTACAACAAAACGACTAAAAACGTTATTCTTTGGGTTAATATGTAATTTTGCCTAAATTTGAACATAAAACACCTGTAAAAAAAATGTCTTTATGTTGATCTTTTGTACATAATTAATTACTTATGTAGAACCTTGTTTTAAATTTTCAATCCTTAGCTTCAAAAGTTGAAAATTTAATGTGTACAAAATTATTTTCAATTTGAGAAATGTTGTCAAAATTTGAATTTTAAATAATTATAAAGCAAAATCCACGTATTTTTAATAATATTCAACTACTAATGTAACAATGTATCAAGAGTCTTGCATTACATTTTCATGCTTTTTGACCTAACCATTAAAATTTAATTGACATTTAAAGAAAAAAACAAAAAAAAAAACAAATGAAAATTGAAAATTGAAAGTGTCCTTCAACAGCTTCAAACATGTCAAAATATTTTGTAAGTTTCTATGAATTTCTAACTCAAAATAATTTGCTAATTTTCGTGATTTTTTTCAAAATTCTTAATCCAACCGGTCATAAAAAATTATTGTGGATACATGCTCTACTTTTTTTTAATTTTCACCAACAACTTCAACTTGCGAGGAACCTTGTACTACACTATCAAATCATTTGACCCAGGGAAATATTTACCGACATAGTTTAATATAAACAAAAATAATCAAACATTTCATATGCCTATAAATAGTTTAAAACGAGAGTCAAAATGTTTTGAAAAGTTATTGTTTTTTATGTCATTTTTGAAAACTATTGTAAATTTTAAACGTTGGCCTCCCAAATGCGTCATCTAAATTCACTTTCCTACCATAAAAGTTACTGCTGAAGAAAATCAATTAATCAAAGCACTTTTATTTACCCAAGCTATGATGACACACACACACACACACACACACACACACACAAAACACCTTATCATAAAATCAACAAATTCATTGCTCCTCTCAGAATATAAAAACGATACGTCACAGCCAATGTTCTCCTTTTTATTTGGTGATAATTTTGTTTCTTAGTTATGGCTGTTGCTCTTGGAACTTCATGCATTTGTATATTTCTAAGGAAGCTAAATATTCAAAATCCGATTTGGTACAAATTTGTCTCATGAGATATACAATCGAAGTACAGAAGTATATATTGAATATTTTTACTACTTTTATATGATTTTGCATATTTAAAGATTTTAATCATATTATCTAATCCTAATGCATAATATTATGTTTATGATTATTTATACAAATCATCAATAAATACATTTTCAATATTACACTAAGTACAATTCATATTGTAAATTTAAGATGATCAAAAACTGAAAAGATTTTGTTTAATATTTTGTCAATAGAAAATATTTGTTTTTAACAACTCATGGCTTCTATATAGATTTGGAGAAATTAAGAGTATAATTTGGTAAGTACTTTTGATAAATTTTAGCTAATGAATAAAAAAAATATTAAAAATTCATGATCACATAAACAAATTTTCAAAAAATAACACTGGAAAATGGATATGCTATAGGTACCTACTGGATGGACTCTTTACTACCAGAACTAATCATAACCCATTGGGATACCTAGATAGTAGATCAATGCTGTACTTTATTATTATAAATACTATGAACAAACTTGAAAATTGGTATTATAAATATGTTATACTCCAATAAAGCTTTAATAATTAAAGTTTATTAAGAGCATATTAAAGGTACTGGATATTTAAGCCTTTTTAGTACATACGTAGGTATGCACATATTTTATTGTTTTTCAGTGCAAAATGAAGTTCCGAGCCCAGCTTATAAAAAAATAAATGTGAATTGACACTTTTTTAATTCTGAGCAGAGCGATAAATGTATTGGTTTTACAATAATGTGTTTTTTCTAATTGGGTGTGTATACTGTATACTGTATATCAGGGGTCACTAATTAATAGTTTCCGTGGGCCACATTAAAAATTTGGATTAGTCTCGAGGGCTATAAAAATGCAAAGTACATAATATTTTTAATAATATGCCGATTGGCCAAAACTAATGTACAAAGATATGAAATTATCGGCTTCTTTTCTCTTTGTCTGCAGGCTGATTAAAATTTATCTACGGGTTGGATGTGGCCTTCGGGCTGCCATTTGGTGATCCCTGCTGTATATAGTTATACACAATACATAAGTAGTTGAAATAATGCTTTGATTTCCAATTTTGAGAGTGGTTGACAGAGAATTAGATCTATTTGGTACTTTTGTGAGATAAAAAATGAGATTAAATTTAAGAACAAAATAACATTTATTTTCATTTTAAAACTAAACCACTTTTATACAAATAAATATTACATTTAGCATGAAATATGTTTAATTAAAAGAGTTCATTACATAAATTGTTTTTTTGACCTCAAATCAGTCTTTGATTATAATGTAAAAATATTAGTTTCTAATAGATACTATTAAATTTTACTGTACCTATGGTCATTTTGAACTATGTCTTGAATATTTTTGTCAATATTTTGAAGATTTTTTTTCCTTAAAGTACGCCTATGAGGAAGGGTAAAATGTTTTTGAAGGAAACCATAAGCTTTAGGTCCAAGATGATGAACAGTATGTGAGAATTGTACTATTTCATCAAGATGTCGTTGGCCATTGGGTGTTTTATGTTTGTTTGTCAAATAATTTTTTACCAGCAAGTACATTGTTGAGGGTAAATATGTTTCACACAATTTAAGACAATTATTTTCAGTGTTTGTTCGGTCTAATTGTCTTTTCAATTCGTTGACAGTTTTTTCTAACTGCTTCTTTACATTGATTTCTTCAGCTAGTTGCTTCTTAAGTTTAAGTTTTCGTGGTGATCTGGCCGATAAGTAATTTGGAGTTTGAAGACTTACTGACATTTTTACAACTCCAGTAGTTGTTGGTGCATCAAAAAGGTTTTTGTTAACATACTTATCTAAAATTGATTAATTTTTTTCAAATTATTATAATTATACATACTCATTAGTTATATTTAATTACTTAAATAATAAAATATAATTTATGTAACCCACCATATTCTGTACAAGATGTAAGAGGATCAATTGGGATACCTGCTGGGACGTTATCATCTATTGTAATAGTTTCATAAACATTTTGAGATGTATTTGCTGTTATTACTGAAGGTTTATCTAAAAACACAGAATACATAATTAATAATTATTATTATATAGTCATAATATTATTCTGCCAAACTGACTTTTAAATAATGTTGGTACTGCATTGGATAAGAGTCTATTCTTTAGGAAATTGAACATTCGGTCTTCAAAATGCAATGAACATAATTTACACCTTTTATTCAATATTTTTGGTTCTACATACGGCAAATATTTTGAATCACAGTTTTTAACCCAAATAGCACATCTATAAATAATAACAAATATTGTTAAAATGAATAATCAGTAAATACAAGGTAGAAAGGTAGATAGTTAACTCCTCTGTTATTTAGAAATATAAAATATTTAATCAATAACTCTATAATTACTAACTTCTGAGTAAATATTAATGGAAAAATTGATTTACCTACTTATTTTGTTAAATATTATTGTCTTGGCCAATTTTAGCTAACAACTTAAAATATTTTAAGATTCTTTAAGTCCTAATGTTTGTTATCAAATAGGCTATCAACTTAATATAGCATATTGAAGAGCGCCTATTTAAAAATTCTTAATAGTTTTATTAAAATTAGTTAATATCAAGCATAAGCAAATAATTAACTAAATAAATTGATAAAACCTAAGTAAATAATAATAACTGATAATCAAGATTTTCAAGAAGAAATATTTGATACATATCGATATGGAATAGTTATGTACCACCTCGTATCGGAGTTCGAGTCCAATATGGGTCGGTACGTATTGCTTGCATATTGCACGAGTAACATTTTGAACGCTCAAAATTGACTCGATACGTAGCGATACACTCCAAATTCTTTCTTGAAAATCTTGAATATGTTGTTTACAATTAATAGTAACATAAATAATGACTAATAGTTCAAAAGTAGACATAAAAAAAAACAAAAAAATTCTCTTAAGATCTTTAAATATCACACATTTTATTTGTTTTAAAGATATTATGTTGTTATAGTAAAAATTGAATGTAATATAATAACATTATATTCAACATTCACAGTGTACGTTTGGTAAAGTTTCTATAGTGAGCACCCATAGACCTGTACCGTCTATGGCTTTACTGCTCTAATTTAATATCATATTATAAACAGTGGTGATCAGTGGCGGCGTGAATAGCTATTTTATGAGGCAGCTGCCTCATTAAAAAGTGGGAGTAGGTACCCCAATGACTCAAATCTCCAAGACCTAGAAGGCAAAACTAGTTTATAATTTATACTCGCATACCTACATTTGATCTACATTAAAAATATATGAAAAAAATGGTGTGTGGGTGAGTACTTATTTAAGATTAGGTTAGGTTAGGTTATCACATTTGTTGGGAAACTCTGTACAATTTTACACAAATATTACACGGTGTAGTGAAATTATAGAATAATATTACCGCAATATTATAATATTATAGTATATAAATTATGTATTATCCTCTTATACATGTATATGATCTAAGATATTATTAATGAATTAAAAGACATTTCTCACAGTAAAACTCTTAAAATTGGTGATAAAATAATTTCTAATAAACAATCTTATATAATAATGTTATATTATAAAATATAAGTACCACCAGACTTGGATAAAATATTTTAAGAAATATTTGTAATAAATACTCTAAATAAGTTTTTCAAATACTGAAAAATAGTCATTCAAAAATACTTTCAAAAGGTACTATTTGCAATTTTTTGTGCAAATGGCTAAGTTAAAGAGCTTTTTATACATTTTTTTAATGTGTAATACATTGATATTTATAAATAGAAGATATATTAAATCTTTATTATTGAGAGAACGACATATTTAATGTATTAAGTTATGCCATAAAAGTGACAAAAAAATTAGAACGTTTTGATACCGTAATCGACTATATTTATAATGACCTGTTGACTAATGGATGCAAAGCATGGTTATTTTATAAATTATCTTTAACCGTGCTGGACTACATATCACATTATATCCACAAAAGACAGAGTACAATATATATCGTGGTTCGTGGCATAGACATATAAATTATAATAAATTTTATTATTATGTGTATAATCATAAATAGACTTCCATAATGCTGTTTTGTTATCATATTTTAAGACAATAACCTAAACTACTAAATGTAAGTGAAATTAAGTAAAAGTATGTTAACGTATCTGATAAAAAACTTTTCTAAAAATGTTATGTTGAAAATTTCAAATTGTTATTTAAGAAATACAGAATATTGCCTAATAAAAAAACTGTTTAGTGAGCTGTTTAGCTAATTATATACAACAATAATAGTATGTACATTTTTGCGCACTTTTGTTGTTCTATGTCTTCTTTTTTAACAAATTCATTTGAAAAATTCAATTGACATATCTTATCCCCAATTTTTTAAAGTTTACCTAGAACCCACTTCCCAACTTTCCAAACGATTTTTAGTTATAAACACGAAATGTAGGTACTCCTGTAGTTTTACAATTACATGTACAACAATTTCGTGTCATTTTAATAAATATGAATAATATATCACAGGTATACGTATAAGTATTCAAACAAAACAAAATAAGTATTTATAGAACCTAGGTTCTTTTAAACCTTTAAAAGAACAATGTGCTAACGATGATCTGTATATTTTGGTGGTATTTGATAGTCTTAAACAGTTAAAATCATGTTCTTAATTAAGGTTTTTAAGTCGACAACCAATCATCGAAACAAATAATAATATTATGGTATTTGGCTGGTATGTAGTGCCGCCAAAGCGGGCCCCGACACTCCAACACACCGTTTGTGTTGCAGTTTATAGTTCGGATTCTTCTTAAGCCATAAACGTGGATACCTTTGATATTCTTCTAAGAAGCCAGCAATAGCCAATATTAAAATCTGCCATTTTAAATTCAATTTAAAAAAAACGAAAAAACAGAAATCTACCATTTATCTAACCATCGAGATCTACTCTCATAATGCGACCGCAGCTTCATAACCGAAGATTAGTTGCCAGACCCATGATAATAACTCATAATCTAAGACCGTGATAATAACTAACAGGCAACAGCCATAAGATAATACCACAGATTATATTATATAATCTGTGATAATACTATCTAAATTAACCACCGCGGCTAACGGCGCAAACATCGAGAGAAAGAACAATATACAAATAATATGTATGCTTCTAAATCAAAGTATGTATATTGAATATTGGTACACCTAACAAATCTAACCTAACCTATCAATACACCCATGGGCCATGGCTAAACAATAATTAACATCAAACAACTTTATTTAGATATGAATACACCTTGCTTCTACTTATATGCTAAAATAATATATTCTCTATCCGACTATCCCCATAACGGCATAACCAAAAAAAAAATATACTTCTAGCAAGTCAGCGAGGTGTCTAGTATTTATCACCTAAACAAATAGGTACCCCTTAATTATCAGTAGATAATAATGGAAACATGAATATGACATTCCTGTACCAATGGCTTAATATATAAACAACCATGTCTTTACCTAATTGTTCTGGGCTAATACACACAATTTAGTCTATGCGAATTAATAGTTACCATAAGCGGTATATGTGGTTTGGCGGTTGTAATTTGAGAGTTGTGGGTACAATTTACTTTACCTTTTAACCTTTTAAATTCAAATTTATTGAAATTAATTTTAATGTGGTAATTATAATTAATACATTTTATATTTGTCAAATAGTGTTTTAAAGTTATTATTCAATCTTAATGTATGAAATATTATTAAAATTTAATATTATTATCTGTGGTGAGGATATCACAACCTTAATTACATTAAATAACTTTGGTAACTAGTGTATTCTTTGAAAACTCCTGTTGAATGAAATGCAGATGTGCTATCTTTATAGAATTCATTATCTATGGCTCACTTACCTTACTGGATCTTCAGGAAATCTAAAAAACGATAATTGTTCATTTTCAGTTCTCGAGTAAGTGTTATTACAAAAACTAAGTGCACACCTAGTGTAATTGACGTGCTCTTCCATAGTATTATCCAGAAAAAAGTTGGTGAAATTTAAAATAAACGATTTTCAAATTTGAAAAAAAGCATAAGACACTTTTTGGAATTCGGTCTTTAACCATGGGGATTACTCGGCATGCATTTGATAGCAACTTCGAAATCTTTTAACAGACAGTGTGACCAACAGACAATGCATAAATGGGAATTTCTTAGGTTAGGTCACGATTTAAGATATTTATGTTACTCAATGCCTTAGATCATATACTTGTATAATATTGCAGTCTACTGATGAAAAGCTTAATATAACTTTAAATGATGTGAAAAAGGTTTCCTAATTTATATTTTATATAAATTATTTAAAGTTGCTTTAACAATATCTATACGTTCCTCCACTTATAAAAGTAGTTTTTCGGCCACGCTTCAAATAAAAATATAGTTTCGAACTCCAATGTTACAGGAGAGGTTCAACACCTGAATTTTGTACATTGAAAAATAATTATCTAAATGAATTAATATGATTATTAATATTTTTGCAAAAAGGAATTATTTTATACAATTAAAATTTAAAAAGTGAGTAGCTATTCAATATTTTATTTTTTATGTTCCTATGAACTATAATATATTAATATGTTTATGATGTGCTGATGTGCATGTAGGTTCCTGCGCAACGTTCGAAAAATTAGGTATTATTATATAGTTTATTATTTTGATGGAACCACTATTGCATTTTCGACATCCAGATTTACTACATTTTCGGTGGATTTTCCTAATATTGTCTTTCGTATAAACATTGTCCTAACAATTACAAACACAACAAAATTCAGTCAAATCGGTTCAGCTGTTTCTGTAATTAGCTGTCTACCTAGAATCTACTTGCACGTTTGTATAGTTAGGTATAATATATTTATATATTATCAGATTATCTCTTTTTAACAATCTAGTCTTTTTTGAAGTTATGTCATCTGGGTCATGGCCATAGGCGCCGGGTTTTTCAATTTTCATGGGGCGCCCAAAATCCTAAAATAATTGAAGTAGGTAATAAGCAAAAAATTCAAAAAAATTCAACAAAGCATTACTTACTCGTTTAATGACTTTTTTTTGTATATTTTTACTATGTACCTAATATAAACAAATTATATACAAACAAGCAAAAATAATCTTTTTGTAATAGGTATATAATAATGAATTAAAATTAATTATTATGACATAATTGTATTATGAAATATATGTATTTATAATTTGTTGTATTATAAAATTTCTAAGTTTCTAATAATGAATTAAAATAGCTTTAGAAATTTCAAAGGTATTTTGTCTCACTTTGGTGGTCTTTATAAATTTGCTAGCAATATTTTCAATATTTATTTCTTCTTGTTTATGTACTTTTAATAATTCTACATCATTAATCCGTATTTGCGTCATTGTTGACCTTAAAAATGTTTTTAAACGCCTAAGAGCAGAAAAAAAACGCTCAACAGTACACGACGAAACTAGTACGGTTAACATAATTTTAATTGATTTTACAATTTCTGGTACCAAATCTTGTAAGTACACATCTTGTTTTTAAAAATCAATTGCGTCTGACACTGATGATATATCAAAATTTTTTGCTTTAGCGACATCTAACATAATATTGCGATGCAATTTTAATTTTGACCTATCGAAATCAGAGCCATAGTATTCAATTATAATGGATGCGTTTATTTTTTGAGGTTCTACTATAAAGTAACCAAAATAACAAAAAAACCCAAAACATATATTATTTGAAAATTATTATTTCTACATGTATTGTAAATGTATAATTTTAACGTATTAAATATTTATATGTTTTATTTATTTCATCATGTGTTCAAGCACCGCAGCACCACAATAGTCGGCGCCCATGGTCACGGCTATAGCCTATAGTACCTAATATCTATAAAAGTGTAACGGCCGTGGTCTGGGTATAAGGGATTATCGGCCCATTTTGTACATGCCTATATGCATAGACCTTATACAGGCATACAGTTATACAGTTATACTAATATAAAGTCTATGGACCTGTGATATTATAATATATTACAGTGTACTCTCGATTATCTGCCGTCTTCTGCGGAATCATCTACAATCTACATACCTATATGTATATAAAAAAATATATACAGGGTGATCCAACAAGTATGCTCAACCCCCCTTCTTATTTCTTTAATAATGAAGTTTTTCAAAATCTGATTTTTGGAATCTTTAAATATACTCAAAGACCATATTATTCTCATATTCTTGAGATTTTTGTTCCACTTAAGGAATCTCCTGTGGCGATACAAACTTTTGTTTTTCAAATGGGAACCCCATTATTTTACTTTAAATTATTTAGCGAATACATTTTTGAGAATCGAATCTTGATGTATTGAAATCAAAATTCGAACAAGTAGTTTTCTAGTTATTACACATTTTGTGCTAAGGATAATATAGTTAACTAGCTGCCCGACATCCTCCGGAAGAAATTATTTTTTTGTAATTTAATTTAAAAACATAAGACTATTTTTTGGCTATACAAATAATACAATGATTATAAAATAAAAAAAAAAGATAAAAAAAAAGAAACAGACATCGTTATCGGTGGATGAATGAAAATAATTGGTAATTAGTTAATTATTATTATTATTATAATTTATAATGAGGGTTCAAAACCGGTTTCCTTCGTCTCCAAAATCAAGTTAGATTCTTATATATATAGATAATAGAGAAGAAGGATATGCTTATACAGTATACCTACGTTGTTATCTATAGTCTATAATACATAATATAAAATAATACGTAATTTTATATTTATTTAGTCAAACACTTAGGCAAATAGCAAGTAAAATCCTTCTTGATTTATTTACTTATTTTTCTTATTTCATGTGTAGAACTGTATAAGCATATCCCTATTATGAACTATTATCCTTAGTACAAATGATCCAATAACTAGGAAACCACTCGTTCAAATTTTGATTTCGGTACATCAAAATTCTCAAAAAATTATAAACTAAATGATTTAAAGAAAAAGAAGTGGGTTCTCATTTGAAAAACAAAGGTTCGTATCGTCATAGGACCCTTCTTAAGTGGCACAAAAAATATGAAAATATGGTCTTTGAGGATATTTAAAGATTCCAAAAATTAGATTTTGAAAAACTTCATTATTAAAGAAAAAAGGGGAGTGAGCATACTTGTTGGATCACTCTGTATACAATGTACATACATATATTTACATTATAAATCATTATCGGTTTAATTGGGTGATAATTTCTGATAGCCGATTGCTCGATATAACGACATAAAATACAATACGCTTGTGTAATATTAATACATATGTATTATATATTATGTAATGTTCGGAAATAAAATAAATTTCAATTTTCAATTAATTTTCTATTATTTTTTTTAATTTTGCTGATTATTAGAGGAATTGGTTTATCCGTGGATGTCTCGCCACCCTATTCCGAGGAAAATCTAGAGTACACTGCACTCAATGAAGAGTACATTTCACTCTAGTGGTGTCTTATGTATTCCTAAACAAAGTTATCAAATACTCCGCTAGATAAAAGCTCTTGGTATATTAACAAAAGGTTTTTTTGTCGAAATAAAATACAATAATGGGTTAGGCCACTGCTTCTGCAGCTCACATAGCCTCTTTTATGAATATAATATATTTATTAATATAATATCATTGATGATAAATACTAGTATTTATAGTCAATGGTATCACTCGTACGTATATCTATTAATATGTGAAATATGTATTAAAATGAAATAACTTCATTTTTTTTTATGAATATTAACAACAATTTATTATATTTTTAATCTTTTTCTACAAAACATTATTTTAAAAATTTAAAAAAAAAAGACATTGGGAGGGAATCTGATCCCCACATCCCTCTCTTATATACAAACCTGATAGGTATAGTATATTATTATGTTTCTCACTTTCATGTGTTCATATACCATCATATCAATTTAGACTATATTATTTATATAAATCTAAAAATGACCGCTAAACATTGACAAATGATAATAATAATCATAATAACAAACGACAAACATTTTAAACAATGATCCGACAATATTAACCAAAATCAAAAAAAAAAAAAAAAATTTACAATATAATATAGTAATAACATCAATAGGTATTGTAATAACGACTTAAAACGCACTTATTACTGGCGCTTCGTATACATAACGATAATCTAATATATTAACATATTATAATACATATAGATATATAATATTTCTTAATAATATTGTCACGATGTTGTGGGTATTATTTTATAATATAAAATAATTTGTGTACTCAAATTTTGAACAATACCATATAACATATTATTGTTATTATTATTATTATTATTATTATTGTTATTATATAATAATATATATAATAAAAAAATAAATTCAAATGGAACAACATATTATATTATGTACATACGTGTAATAGTTAATAATAATCATGATAGAAATTAACTCAGGTAATAGTATACAATAATATTATTGTTATTTTTATTACCGAATCGCGTCTAATCTATATTATAATATAGGTATACGATCAATGTATTACTATATATTAGTTAGGTACTTAGGTAGGTATTGTAATATTGCCACATAATAATTCTATGATACTGGCATAGATATTGGTACAATTCAACGATTATATAATATTATACGAGGTTAAAGGAATGTAACATATTACATTTATTATACTAAAACCAAAATTGTTGGTACAGACGTACAGTATAGGGGCCGTTCTGTGGCCTGCAACGAGCCACCCAACGAAACTACGACCACAACTATTATTTTTCAGCAATCACTGTACTAAGTTCATTTCGTGTTTCCGCGGAAATTATTGGAACGGTTAAACGGTTTTAACCGTAGAAAAAACAATTATACAATAATTATAATGAAATACGTCGGTACATGTTTAAATGCTCTAAGGGCGACTGTAATTATACATAATAACAAAAATCGTTTGAGCGCTTATTTTTTTCTTTCAAACCATCATTATAGGTATTAATGCATTATAATTATTATACACGAGTCGGTTATAGTTACTATATCCGGCACAAAATATTTAGTAAGTATAACATAAGTAATCTACATAAAACGGAAAAAAAATATTTTTCTTAATGGAAGACAGTATTATATTTTATTCGTATACTTGTGTTTTATATACAAATAAAAATATATTATTATACTCATGTAGTAGCTGTATTATAATATGTCGAAGTATAATAATACTCTTAGACTCAAACTTGTTGTAACTTAACCAATAATCGGTATGATAACACTAATGTCTGTTAAAAGTACACCCCTACTGCAGTAAACTGCTTGACATGCAGCGAGATATCCGCAACACGCTATTTAGCATATTATTTTAATTTTTTTTTTTTATAAAATATAATATGTAATTGAGTTGATACCAATTCCATGTAGGTTAGGTTAGAAGGTTTAGGTTGGAAATCTAGAAAGGTGGGGTCGTTATTGGAAAATCTTGAACTTTCGTAACAAGTATTTATATAATATAGGAATGAAGAACAGGCCGTCAGCAGTTACATTTTTTGTTGTAGAATTGTTATTAGAATACCATTTTTATTGTTTAGCCGTTCAGACACGTCGTGTTAGTTATATAAGAATAGGTTTAGAAGGTTCGGTCGTATTAAAAGAGAGAGAGATCACTCAGAGGCAGTAGATAAACATAATATTATAATAAAGAATAACATTAAAATGTCGAGTGTGAGTTAAGGCGGGATAGGTGATAAAGCTCTATGGAGGTGTAGGACAAGCGTGGCCTACCCCATATATAGCTGTTAGAGAAGCTTGAATAATATACAGAATATCGGTTAGCATCGTATATATATATTCTTAATAATGCATATTTTCTATACTTTAAGAGTGTAATTGTTGAACCAAGGACTAACTAATGTGATTATTGTAGGTTCAGCTGTTATATTCTTACTCAGATTTTCGAAAACAACACGTTGTTTCGTAGTGATTTTTTTAATCGATTTCTTCGTCGAGCGAGTCGGGTGTCGCGTAATTATTATAATATTATACTAAACATAGTCATGTCACATCCGAAGGATTAACGACGTTCCCATATAATCAAACTCGTCGTTTTTATGAAATAATAATCATATAAAGCTTTGTTAATAATGTACCTACTACTTACAATACATCTTAATAATACCGGCTAACTGCCTTAATGTAATATCACAATATCATGGAATTTATTCAATTAAATCTACTCGCAGACAGTCGCAGTGTATATTATTATAATAGTATGAGTCTTACGGATATGCACATATTATTATGTCGTTACGTATTAACATATATATATATATAATTATTTTGTATGTGTGTATTCTATGGGAAGCCTGGGCAGCGGCTACCATTTGTTCAGTTTGGAGCGTTGGATAAAAAATTTGGTGTATGAGTTTTTTGTGAATGAAATTTTACTCATAGACTCTCTACCGCTATGATGTTGGAGTTTGCATATAGCAACGTATTATGTTTAAAAAGCAACAAGTTTTGCGGACAACATAGAAAATTAATGAATTTTGTGAGATACACGTTTCTGTATTATTTGATTTTTTAAATAAAACGTTAAGGACGATATAGTTATGTAATTGTAAACAACCCGATTTAAGAACACTATCTATAATTTATATCCCTACAAATGTTATTTCTGCTTTTTTTGCTTATTTAAATAGTTAATATTGAAGGTATTGTTGTTATACCTTTATTGAAAAATTGTTCATAAGTCGAGATATTTTTTAATATGCATGTTAGCACAACTTCAACGTTGCTAAATACCAACGAAAATAATAAAAAAAAAGTAAATAGGTAGGTATTAGACATTATAATATGTACATATTTCATCATAAGCGCTCCTCATATTACAAATACCCCCGAACCCAATATGAATATGTCAAATTATTTTATTTTTAATAAACACGTTTCAATACTTGGAATGGAAAAAAAATTCGTATATTATAAGCATACTATTTCACTCACATGTATACCTAAATTATAATTTATTTCATGTAAATTAATTATAAATTAATTAAACACAACCGTGGTGCATCGAGTAATTTTTTCACCGAATTATTTAATATTATAATTAAAAATATTATCATGGTAGTTCTTATCACGGTGGTACAGTGTATCGTATTTTTACAACTAAAACATAATCTATTATTTTATTGGCTTCTTATACGAAAGTATTTTAATATTGAAACTATAGGAAAATTATTTTAAGTTATATATTGTAGCTAAAATGAAATTGGAGCAAGTCTATCAGAAATTCGGAAGCGATTCAGAGCGTGTTGTGCTGACTATATTATAATAAAATATACTTCCAAAAATTGATGCTAGTAATTACCTCCGTTCGTGGAAAGAGTATAGAGACTGAAGATTAACGAGCGTAGACCATTTGGGCGAATTCACCCAAAATATAGACAGTTTGGGAGAATAGTTTATAGCGATTGGGCGAGTGTTTATCTTTATTCCATAAAAAGAGGTATTAAGGTGAATACGTATGAATAAGTTTATATGTAAATTAATTGACATACTGTAATATTGTATAGTAAAGTACATTATTAATGAAAAAAATGAAGCCACATACAAAAAGCATAATAAATAATTAATAATGAACTCCTAACTTCAAAAATATATTGGTTAGGTATTGTAATATTATATTTTAATATACAGCCAATATTAATAAAAGTTTTGCAATTAATAAAACAAAATCATATACGATGTGCACAATAAAAATAATTAATAATAAACCCTATTTTTAAAAACATTCACATCAAAGTCATCAGGTTTTTTTCTTATACGAGGGTAAAAATAATTTCTTATTTTACTCGCCCAAACGGTATAAATGATAGTCACCCAAACGGACTGTCAATTTTTTGCTCAAAATGATTACGTTTGCCCAAATGACCATTACCCAGATTAACAGTAAGTGGAGTTCGGAGGTTTTTAATTAGAACATTTAAAAATATTCGGGCGACATGATTCGTTCTCAAAACGCACTGAAAAATGGCAAACAATGGGGAAATATTAAAAAAAAAAAAATATTATGTAACTTATATATTTTTGTATATTTATAAACAAATTAAATCTTTGAACTTTTTAATGGGTAGTATAGCGGGTATTATGAGCTGAGTAGGATCAATTAAAACTGTTCATAATGATGTATATTATATATTAATCTAATAGGCTTAGGTACAACGTGTAATTGGTACCTATGGAATTTTAAAATATATTATTTAAACGTCTTAAAAAGAGCAAGCTCCCGCTGTACGTATACAGTATAAGTTGTTTAAATGTTCAGCTCTCTCAGCTATCCATATAAATATATAATATTATGATGGTCATAACTCATAATGCACGAATCAAGTTGGTCCTGAGTATTCTATAGGTTCGACATATTGCAATATTATACAACACAAATATAATAACGATCAAGCTCGGATTAAGTCTTATAAATGCCCAGAGGCCGACAGTCGGCTGTGAACCTAAATGGATTAAAATATATCTAAAAATAGAGTCCTATCCCTAACAAAGATTTTAAAATTGGAGTTTCTTCACATAACTTTATAATTATCTACTATTACGGTCATTGAATTTAAGCCAAAAAACTACAATTTTACACAAACAATTAACAAATACATATGTGTATATAAATTGTTTATTAATTATATATACAATAATATGTAAATATCGCCATATATATACAGGCGCCCCACAAATGAAAGACATTTTTATTCAAATTTAATAAAATTATATTATTATTTTTTGTACTAAGAAATTAGAAAAGTATAAATAACCATTTTATATAACTTTAGGCCGATGACAAAATTAGCTCTTTACGTTCGTGGGCCACACGACGCTCCAGACTACCACTTAATCCGGCTTGATAACGATATTTAATTTAATATTATAATAAATATTTAAGCTGCATCAATGGTGCTTGTCGACTGCATGTTCATTGTATACTAGACTTAAGTAAGTGTGTGGGTAAATGTGTGTATTTATAATGTATTATAAAGGAGGGGTTTTTATTTTGGAAAACGTCTCGAGTTTAAAACGGTCCGTGGATGAAAAATAAAAAAATATTGTTTAAAATAATTAATCGATTATTGTCTTATATCAGGAGTAGTTTGAGTGTCAAGGACACTAACCGGATACGCGTCATACAACAGTATCCTCATTATTGGAGTCGTCACCACCGAAATATAGCCGGTGACCGGAACAATGTGACTACAACGACGCTGGCCAGCACTAGCAACCGATGGACCGGACATCCAGAACCGGAACCCTTGCCGGAGCCATGCCTCTGTTTGTTGTCATGATGTCGGACGCCGCCACCTCCACTACCCCCATTTCCACCTCCACTTCCACCTCCATGAGCAGTCTGTGGAGGTTTTTTTGTGGACTCTGATGGATGCTTCTGTTGCTCCCGTTGTTGTTGATCTTCCGACGATAGGTTGTCACCGTCAGATGTCGGTTCGCCCTCCACAGGCACCAAGTTTTCCTCGTCTGCACCAGCTGACTCTCGGTCACCATCTTCTTCTGGTTCCGGTGGTGGTGCTTCCGAAGTGGTTGGGGCGCTGGGCAAATGCAATTCTGAAAAAAAACATAGCGACACTTTGCATTATAAGACGTCAGTTAGTATGTTCATAATATTATTGCGCATGGTATCGTTAAAAGGTATTTAAAATATTAAGTGTCAACAATTATTAAAATCTTAGTTTATTACAAATGGGTACTTGTACTAATAAAATAAAATACAAATGTTGTTTAGATTTATACTTTTATATGATATTATTATAAATTATAACACGTATTATTGTTTTTAATTAAATCCTGGTCTTAAATATTAGGTCTTTGGTTTTTAGGTTGAACCACGTTCTGTTTTTCCTAGATTATCATTGTTTTTAAACCGGGAATTAACCCTCTTACTAAAATATAATAAATATAAACTTCAGAGCAATGAATAAACAGATTACTCGAGGTAATTACTATTAGGCCATATAAAATGATGATGTCAAAAATAAAATAAATCTTAAAAGAATTATCGTTATGTCAGAAATTAGAAATTATATTATTACCTATATTAAAATCAATTTAACTAATTTCTAATGTAATTAATTGTATATTATGATCGTTTACGATAAAGTAGCTCAGGGTAGATCAACCCTCGGCCCTCGAAGCTTTTTTTTTGCCCCTTCCTAGAAGATTTGTATTAAGAATAACGCCATAAGATTGGGGAAGTCGGTTTTCTTGCCTCGTAATAATAATACTGAATACTCGAGCATTCTCTATTTTTCTAGACAAAATAAAATTTAAATAATATCATTTTTTTTTCTTTTGGCGGCCCCCAAATGTTTTTATAAAAGTGCGAATTTTCCCCCAACTACATAAGGTTGGACCAACTTGCAGTAGGATATACGATGGACGCAGTTATTAAACTTTTAAGTAATTGTCATGCATTCACACTAAAGTATTCAGCACCTAGAGGCAGTGTCGGCCTGGTACCTTAAGGGCCCCGGATGCATTTCTTCAGAAGGGCCCCCAAAAATGTTTGTTCATAAAATTATTAAAAATGTATTTATAAGTAGTGTAAAATATTATAATTTTTTAAAGGTACCATATATAAAATTAACCATCCATTAAGTTAAGATTTAAGTTAGATTAATAATTTATTATTCTAAAAATTTTTTTACATATTACATAATATAAATAATACCTTCTCACATTATACAACTTAGTATTTTTTTTAATGTGATTCAAATTCAAAATT